CTGTAAAATTTTAATAGTAATAATATAATTAATGTGGAAAATACATTTTTTATGTAATTGCATTATATTTTTTATAAAAAAACTATTATTAATGTAAATATCTGTAGCGAAAAATGATACGTCCAATGTACTCTACGACAAAGTTCATTAGTCGACAAACAAGTAGTGGATACTAAACATTATTTAAATCTTTATCATTTATGATTTTAATTTGTTAGTAGCCTTGTGCATCTCGTTATCCATCTTTATAATTATATCAGTCTATATTAACCATATTTTTTTTTATTTTAAGTCATATCCACCTAATTTTTATTAGAAACAGGTCTGTACAATATATAAACACATGTCCAAAAGTTTGGAATACGTACAGATAATATATCTATGCCTACGGCGGTTTCAAAACTGTTGTTGATATTCACTCTAGAGCGTTTTTAACCCGGCAAATGTGGGTTGAAAATCACCCACGTCGTTCATTAGCGCCTGTTAATATAATGGTAACATCGCCAGATTTTTTTAGCGCCACGAGTATCTTCTCATAATATAAGAGACCTTATATTGCACCATAAATTTCAGTTTATAAATAAGATTTAAATGAGTGGTGTCGCGTTCTTAGGACTTGTGGGTGATTTTAACCCCACCACACAGTTAAAGTTCAGTAGGTATTATTTGGTTTTTTGTATTTTTCAACCCACAACACCGGTTAAATTTTACAAGGCAAGTTCTTATACTACCACAATTTATTTTGATTTTTTTAATAGAAACATAATTGAGTTGGTAGGAATAATGGAAATTAATTAGATATTATTAATTTCAGACATATAGAAATATGTCTAGTTGGGAAAAAGAATAAGAAGCACTCCTGAAGCTTTGGCAGGACGACTTAACTGGATCGGAGTTAGGATCAGAAAGCGAATCTGAAAATGAAAGTCAGTACAGTACAGTAGATTAGCCTTCGTCCCAGTGAGGATGTTTTAGAAAATCAACTTCAATCAGTGGAAAATTGTCAGCCTGAAACTTCTAATCAATTAAGTCAATTATCGTCTAAACAATCGTTTCAATAAGTTTGAAGATGATATAGTAAAACAATCTAAGTTTTTTATCGGACGAGATGTGAAAACAAAATGAGCAAAGAACCGTCCTAATAAATCGGTTAGAATACGACAAGAAAATTTAATTACTCTATTTCCCGGCATTCGAAATAATGCAAAACGTTGCAAGCTGCGCGTTTCTTTTTGGGAATTATTCATGGATAATATTATTTTTGTCCTCCCACCTTCAACCCACCCTCTACCAACTCGCACTGGCCAGCGCGGTAGAGTATGGCTAAAATCCAAGCATGCTTGACACGACAAAAACACGGACCTCAGTCCCCGGTAGTGAGCTGATTCTTGGTCAAGGTAGCGATCAAGAAAGACAGCAAACAGCGGGTGCGAAGAATCCCTGGGTCAGATCAGGCTACCACGGACGACGACAAATCGCTATATACAAAGTAAGAACACTATCATCTAAAGAAAAATTACTGGAACTAGAAGAAAAGTTAAAACACATAAAATGGGACGTTATAGGTCTCTATGAAGTAAGACGCAAAGAAGAAGACTGTATAACTCTTAAATAAGGCATCAACTTTTCTATATGGGAAACAAAGAAAAAATAGGAGGAGTTGGACTTATATACATAAGAGACACACTAAAAATATCCAAAAACTTAAAGGTATCAACCCAAGAATAATACTCTGCATACTACAGCTTAACAAAAAAACCAGCCTTAAAATAATTCAAGCCTATGCACCCACATCTACACACTCGGACGAGGAAGTGGAAAACTTTTACAAAGATCTAGAAAATGCAATAAAACTGCTTTTTTTTTATTTAATTTAATGCTAAGTTGGGATGTAAACTGGACGGGAGCGAAGTTGCAATAGGTCCCTACGAATTCGGACAAACAAATAAAAGAGGCGAGATGTTTTTGCTACGAAATGGCCTCTTTGCAATGAATAGCTTTTTCAAAAAAAAAAACCCAAAGAAAAGTCTAGATGCAGTCACCAAAAATGAAATTGATTTTGTCCTAACCAACAACAAAGACATGGTCCATGATGTAACAGTTCTTAATAGCTGTTCAGTGGGAAGTGATCATAGAATGGTAAGAGCCAAGATCGTGCTAAATTTCTAAAAACAAAGATACAAAATGATAACAAAAACACAACCAATAGGATGGAATCCAATCGTAAACACAATGTCTTTTGAAGGGGAAATTCTGAAATGTCTAGAGAAAACAAATATAGACGTTATGGATCGAAACCTTAACTAATACATTAATAAAAGCTATTAAGAACGCAGAGAAAAAGTGCAATACAAATCCTAGGAGAGATAAGGAGGAAAAAATCAGTCAAGAGACAAAAAGACTTATGGAGACACGATGAGAACTTAAGAACAAAAACGATACGAATGCACGCGTACTACAACAACTTAATAAATATATTAATAAAGTAGTGAGGAAGGACTCAACAATATAACACATAAAGATTACAACGGTTGTCGAGTAAAATAAAAGTTTAAAGGTGCTGAAGAGATGTCAAGCTCTAGGTAAGAAGAATATTGTTAAGCTCGCAGCTCGAAATGGAAAAGTGGTAACAGATAAAGATAAGATAATTAAGGTAGTTGAAGAATTTTACACACAATAATATAGAGAAAGGGGTGATAAAGACGGCACCAAATTGAGAAAAGTCCAGAATGTGGGTTCAGAGGATATCCCAGAAATAACAATCGAAGAACTCGCAAAGTCATTAAATCAAATGAAAAACAATAAAGCAGCTTGTGATGACCAAATCGTTATTAAGGCAGTTAAAGCAGGAGGAGACAGTATTGAAAGCATTCACACAATTATATAACTTATGCCTTTCAAAAGAAGTTACACCATCTCAGTGGAATAAAGCTGTTATAGTAGTCATGCACAAAAAGGGATATATAACAGAGCTAAAGAACTATAGACCTAATAGCTTGTTATCTCACGTTTATAAGTTGTTTATGAAGATAATAACTAATAGGTTGACATCAAAACTAGACTTCTATCAACCTTGCGAGCAAGCGGGATTTCGAGCTGGATACGGAACAAATAATCATTTGCAAACTATTAAGTCGTTGATTGAAAAAACCATTGAATATAATAGACCCCTGATATTTGTCTTTGTCGACTTTGAAAAAACATTTGATACGGTCAATCAAAGTAAAATGCTCCAACCTCTAACATAATGTAGAATAGATCACCGATACATATCCTTCATCAGATACATCTATCAGCATGCTACAGCCTGTGCAAGACTTAATGAAGATACTGGGACCTTTCGTATTGAAAGAGGCGTTCGGCAAGGAGACAACATGTCTAATAAATTATTTACAACTTTACTAGAATATGCTTGTAAAACAATAGATTGGAACGAAAAGGGCATCAATGTAGATAAAAAATTTTTAAATAACCTTAAATTTGCAGATGATATCGTTCTTATTGCAGACAGTTTTGATAAGGCACAGATAATGCCCCAAGAACTCCATACTGCCACAAAAAGAGTTGGTCTTAAAATAAATTTTTTAAAAACACAATATATGACAAATTTAGTCCACAACAAAAACATCTCTGTAGAAGGCAAATATATTGAGCCAGTTGACTCCTATAAATACTTGGGCCATGAGATCAGAATAAGTCGAGACACCCAAACAATCGAGCTGAAAAGAAGAATAAACCTCGCTTGGGCTGCATTTGTAAATATCAAGAATATTTTTAGGTCTAAGATTCCAATGTGTCTGAAAAGAAAAGTATTTAATAAGTGTATTTTGCCAGTAATGACCTACGGCGCAGAAACCCTAACACTCACAAGAACAACAGTGAGTAAACTAAAAGTTGCGAAAAGGGCAATGGAGAGAATAATGTTAGATATTTCTCTACGTGAGAATACCCAATGCTATTATACGCAAAAGATCAGGAGTAGCAGACGTTATTGAAAGGATAACAACACTAAAGTGGCACTGGGCAGATCATGTAGCAGGATAAGTTGATGACCTGTGGACAAAAAGCATTTTGGAATGGAGACCCCGAATACAAGCTAACAGAATAGAGGTCGACCCCCAACGAGATGGACAGATGGCATAAAAAGAGTGACTAAACATTGGATTCAGATGGCGCAAAATCGTGAAAAAAGTGGAAAAGCATGCGAGAGGCCTATGTTTTGCAGTGGACGTTAGAGGCTAGCTGATGATGATGATAATGAGATATTGTCCAATGCACTAATAAAAATCAGTTCAGTAGCTAGAATTATAATGACCAACATAAGTATATCAACAAGCCTACGGATGAAGAAGAAATTCGTGCAGTTTTCAGATTATATCTATCAGCCATTTATAAAGCAAATAGGTTAAATCTGGAGGATTTTGGGCTACAGATGGAACAGGAATTGACATTTGAAGGCTAAAAATGTCCGTGTAAATATTTATACTATTTTTAAAGTGCCCACGATTCGATAATATCGCCAATAGAGAGGAACGCAAAACTGGCAGCTATATGAGCTGTTTTTGATGTATTTGTATCTAATTGTCAACAATATTTTATTCCTAGTCGATACTTAACTATCGACGAAAAATTAGAATCTTTTGAAGCAATATATCCGCAATAAGCCGTCCAAATATGGCATTAAAATAGTTTCCTTAGTGGATGCCAAAACATTCTACACTTTAAATTTAGAGGTATATGTTGGCTCACAGCCTAAAGGACCTGTTCAATTTAGTAATCTACCGTTTGATGTAGTAAACAGGCTTGTAAATCCAATACGTGGTACTAACCGCGACATTAGATTCGACAACTGGTTTACCAGCATACTGCTAATGGAATATATGCTTAGTGAACATCGGTTAACATCTGTTAGAACTATTTGTAAAAACAAGAGAAAAATACCGACAATCTTTTTGAATTCCAAAAACAGAGCTGAAAACCACGCAATTTTCTGATTTAAA